TCGCACTGCAATGTTTGTGCTATGTTGGGTAGTATTATCTGATTAGTGCCTGTGTTTACAGTAACTATCCTTCTGAAAGCCACCTCAGAACAAAACAACAATTGAACATGTTCAACTTTTTGTTGAAATGTCAGAACCTTTTCTTTTCCACTATGTGTTCAAAAGTCACTTGTCTGTTGACTTGGAGGTATTTCACAGTTGTAGCATTTCATCAAAGATGTGGGATGTAACACTCCTTGTGAAGTTGTGCACATTTGATTTTTTTCTCCTGAATAATGTAACATTACGGGCCGAAGGTAGTCTGGCTGACTGAACCTGCCGTGACCCACGCGTCGTCGCTGGACAGTTTACACAGGCTAATTGTACTTAAATTGGCAATCTAACCGGATCCTTCCTCAATTCTTTTACAAAACCTTTCACCCCAATGACGTACAAGTTAACTTGTTATTCACATAACCCTAGTCCGCCCCGTGTTGTGCATTACGTCCGGTACTTAGCAGATGTCACAAGAGACACAACACAAAGGATCAGGATTTAACCTTTTTACTGAGTAAAGGAACCTAATGTGTCACATTGCCGGCTTATATTGCAATGCTATCATTTCAGAAACGTGACTTCTCAGATCTAAGGATCAGTCGTCTGCCGGTTCATGCACCTAGTAAAAACATTTTTTTCTATTTGTGCAGTATTTTTAGACAAGTTATCATAAAGAACTGTCAGTAGGGCAAATCAACTTTTAAAGTTCTGGTTTTGACCTGGTTAAGTTCACTTTTACAAAAACATGTGTATAATAATGTACAAAAAATGGTATTTTTTAGTTGTAATTCTTCTTGTTTTCAAAAAGAAATAAAAATTTGCGAAAATTCAAGAGCGAATGCATATTCTAACTCAAATCCCATATTCTGATGCTGATTCAGTAAAGTCAGTTGGATTGAAGGTGTGAAGATCTGTTGGATACAGATATTTAAAATGGTGGTCTGTTGTTTAGAGAAGATCTCTTCTTCCCTTGATAACTTGATAATGCACCATTGTCAAATAGTGAATTGATCAAAGTGGTATAGCTTTTAACTATATAGCGGATCCTCAAAATAACAAGTAAGTAGCTAAAATATCTTAAATCTATGTTACATTTACAAACATATTTCATTTTAAAAGAATTGCGTCAACAACAAAACAAAAACGTAAACAGAATTTACTTTCTCAATTTGGACCGAAACTTGAATTTTTAGCACCATATTGGAATTTGATAGTATTACATCACAGCTCCAGTGTCACCAGTGGGCAGGTGTGACCACTTCTCCAGTGTCACCAGTGGGCAGGTGTCACCAAAGCTCCAGTGTCACCACAGCTCCAGTGTCACCAATCGGGCAGGTGTCACCACAGCTTCAGTGTCACCAATCGGGCAGGTGTCACCACAGCCCCAGTGTCACCAATCGGGCAGGTGTCACCTCAGCTCCAGTCTCACCATTGGGGTCGGTGTCACCACAGCTCCAGGGTCCCCAATCGGGCAGGTGTCACCACAGCTCCAGAGTCACCATTGAGCAGGTGTCACCACAGCTCCAGTGTCCCCATTGGGGTCGGTGTCACCACAGCTCCAGGGTCCCCAATCGGGCAGGTGTCACCACAGCTCCAGTGTCGCCAATCGGGCAGGTGTCACCACAGCTCCAGGGTCACCAATCGGGCAGGTGTCACCACAGCGCCAGTGTCACCAATCGAGCAGGTGTCACCACAGCTCCAGTGTCACCGTTGGGCAGGTGCCACAACAGCTCCAGTGTCACCAATCGGGCAGGTCTCACCACAGCTCCAGTCTCACCATTGGGGCCGGTGTCACCACAGCTCCAGTGTCACCAATGGTCAGGTGTCACCACAGCTCCAGTGTCACCATTGAGGAAGGTGTCACCACAGCTCCAGTGTCCCCAATCAGGCAGGTGTCACCACAGCTCCAGTGACACCATTGGGGCCGGTGTCACCACAGCTCCAGTGTCACCAATTGGGCAGGTGTCACCACAGCTCCAGTGTTCCGTGGGCAGGTGTCACCAAAGCTCCAGTGTCACCACAGCTCCAGTGTCACCAATAGGGCAGGTGTCACCACAGCTCCAGTGACACCATTGGGGAAGGTGTCACCACAGCTCCAGTGTCCCCAATTGTGCAGGTGTCACCACAGCTCCAGTGTCACCAGTGGTCGGGTGTCACCACAGCTCCAGTGTCACCAATGGGGCAGGTGTCACCACAGCTCCAGTCTCACCAATGGGGCAGGTGTCACCACAGCTCCAGTCTCACAATTGGGGTCGGTGGCACCACAGCTCCAGTTTCCCCAATCGGGCAGGTGTCACCACAGCTCCAGGGTCACCAATCGGGCAGGTGTCACCACAGCTCCAGTCCCACCATTGGGGTCGGTGTCACCACAGCTCCAGTGTCACCAATGGTCAGGTGTCACCACAGCTCCAGTGTCACCACTTGGGGCGGTGTCACCACAGCTCCAGTGTCCCCAATCAGGCAGGTGTCACCACAGCTCCAGTGTCACCAATCGGGCAGGTGTCACCACAGCTCCAGTCTCACCATTGGGGTCGGTGTCACCACAGCTCCAGTGTCCCCAATCGGGCAGGTGTCACCACAGCTCCAGCGTCACCATTGGGGAAGGTGTCACCACAGCTCCAGGGTCCCCAATCGGGCAGGTGTCACCACAGCTTCAGTGTCGCCAATCGGGCAGGTGTCACCACAGCTCCAGTGTCCCCAATTGGGCAGGTGTCACCACAGCTCCAGTGTTCCCAATCCGGCAGGTGTCACCACAGCTCCAGTGTCACCAATTGGGCAGGTGTCACTACAGCTCCTGTGTCCCCAATCGGGAAGGTGTCACCACAGCTCCAGTGTTCCCAATCCGGCAGGTGTCACCACAGCTCCAGTGTCACCAATCGGGCAGGTGTCACTACAGCTCCGGTGTCCCCAATCGGGAAGGTGTCACCACAGCTCCAGTGTCACCAATTGGGCAGGTGTCACCACAGCCCCAGTGTCACCAATCGGGCAGGTGTCACCACAGCTTCAGTGTCACCAATCGGGCAGGTGTCACGACAGCTCCGGTGTCCCCAATCGGGAAGGGGTCACCACAGCTCCAGTGTCACCAACGGGCAGTTGTTTCATGTTAAATGTTTTTACCTTAAAGTACAAGGGAGTCATGACGCAGAACCATAAATGTACCATAAATAAAACAAAATATGCTTTTGTCTTTTACATCACAGCTCCAGTGTCACCAGTGGGCAGGTGTCACCACAGCTCCAGTGTTCCCAATCCGGCAGGTGTCACCACAGCTCCAGTGTCCCCAATCGGGCAGGTGTCACCACAGCTCCAGTGTCACCAACGGGCAGGTGTTTCATGTTAAATGTTTTTACCTTAAAGTACAAGGGAGTCATGACGCAGGACCATAAATGTACCATAAATAAAACAAAATATGCTTTTGTCTTTGGCCAACGTTAAATGTTTTGTGACAATGAAAGAGTTAAATAATTTCCAATTATAGCAGAAAAGGCAGAAACAGTTAGATTTGTTTCAATTATATTCCAAAGTGAAGATGGTGTTCGTCAGTTTTGAAAAATGTATTATACAGAATTGCCAGTTGTCATTGCATAGAGCCACACTCGAAAGTCTGTTAATTCGATTGAAGATGGAAGTTATTAAAGAACAAGGAACTTCCTGCATTTGTTTGTTATTCTGTTTCCTCAGCTTTTGTTCAAGTGATCAATAAAACCGCTACATGTACGGAGAAGATTTTGCATCATTATGACAACATGAAAGGAAGGGCTGACGGAGCTTCATTTATTGTTCCATCTAAATCAATATACATCGCGCCTCAGTTGTGGGATGGAGCTTTGAATAACCCTCATCAAAATCATACGTCAATCTATTCCTTCGTTTCTAGGAATAAATCTAAATAGAAAAAAATGTGATATTTTCTTTGAATCCAATTTTCACCATGTTGGCTAAAACCCAATTTCTTCAAAAGGGGTTTCAGAAATATTGTAATGCTGCAATTTAAATTTAGACAATCAGCTTGAACAAAGAACTATGCTTTAAAGTGCTACTTGTACTAAATGGCCCAGTAGATTTGGACTAAATTTGGTCTGGAGCATCCTTAGGCCATTAGGAGACTCAATTTTGTATAAACTGTGGATGTGGCCCCCTTGGGGGCAGAGGGGTGGGTCCCAATAGGGGAAATAGAGGTAAAACCTTTAAAATCCTTCTTCTACCATGGAGATTCAGGGATTTCATCCCAATTTGGTCTGGAGCATTGTTGGGTGATCAAGGGGACTCAATGTTGTATAATTGGTGGGTGTGGACCCCCTAGGAGTAGAGTTGCCGGGCCAAATAGGGGAAATAAAGAGTTAAAACCTTTAAAATCCTTCTTCTACTGTACCATTGGAGGGATTTTATGTAATAAGAATAATTTCCCATGGTTGCTTTATTATCCAGGTGAGCGATACAGGCCCTCTGGGCCTCTGGTTTACAGATATAAATGAATTCAGCTTTACAAGGAAAAGTGTGAAGGAAAGAGGTCACTGCTAGATTCAAAGTTGTAACTGTCAAAGTTTTGGGACATCAATCGTTTATGTGATTAATAGGAGAATGAATTCATAATAACAGAAACAACTGTAAAGGCCAAGAAAAAAAATGTGTGTTTCCGATTTCCTTACCAACCCTAGATTTTTGTGCCTTCCCTAAAGTTTTTATTGGCATTTAGTGATGAGCAATGTTAAAAGTCAGAAGTCCTGCTCTATATAAGCGTAGTAATAAAAATTAAAAAAATTGGCTACCTGCCGACCCCCAGTAGAAACAGGAAACACACATATTTCTTTTTTGGCCTTATATGGGTGGAAAAATCTATGTTTTGTAGAATTCTGGTTCTAAAATGCCAAAAGTATGCTGCATCCAGTCTGATTTTGGATTTAAGAGAATTCAGTTGTTTTCACTTTGAATTCTACAGATTTCTATAACCTTATCCCTCACAGGTCACACCTATTCCTGGGGCCTCAGTCGACCTGACCTTCTTACCCAGTGTTACCAGGGAACACATCCAGTCAATGGCTACCTGGGACCCCTCGACCCCAGCAAGAATGAGACATACCGTTTCCTCAAAAATCTCTTCAATGAGGTCCTCCATGTTTTCAAGGATGAGTACATTCATCTGGGAGGGGATGAAGTTCCCATGACCTGTTGGTAAGGAAAAACACCTATGAATCACTTAAATTTTCACGAGATGTTTTTTGTATGTTTATTACCAAAGAAAGTCAAACGTAAGTTCAAATATCTCACAAATATTGAGACGAAGTCAAACAAGAAAGATTTATTGAGATTTATTGGTCTTTTCATACCGGTAATTAACACAATCACCCCTGAAATTTGAGGATGGATTATTCCAACCTTTGAATTGGAAGAGTTCAATTGTGTCTTCAGGGATGAATGAGAAAAAATCCGTACAAATTAGTGGTTTATAGAACAATTATATACATTTAAAATTAGTGGATTTTACATAAGTATGGTCATAATGACCGGAGAGAGATTTACCCAGCATATCCGGAGAGTAACAGAGCTGATATAGTCTTCATTTTCTAGGAAAGCTTTCTTGCAGACGTGAAAGCTTAGAACATGGCGTAATCATAATAAAATTTGTTATCGGAAAAACCAATCAAACATTTGCTTTCTATAAGATTCCTCGTAATCCAAATATGAAAAAAGAAAACTTGTTTACTGCAAGTTTTCAGAAAGCCAATCTGCCTGAGTTTAACAAAAACCTTAGAGTGAAGATATCCCAAAGTGACATATAAGATGGAACTCAAGTCAGTAGTAATGTAGCATGAAATAAAATTTGAAAGAACTTGTATAAATTTCTTTTCAATATCAGGTCATCTAACCCCGAAGTCCTTCAGCTACTCAACAAACTGGACGGTAAACCAGACGAACCAATCAACCTTCAGAATGTCGACCCCTACATGTACAGCTACGACATTCGGAAAGTCCTCGAGTTCTACGAAAAACGGTATACAAATAATGACATACATGTCAGGAACACAAAGAGCATGAATTCTTATTAAATTCGTTCCTCGACACAGACAAGAGTACATTTTGCCAACAATTGATGTCTTGCCTTTTGTTGTTAGGATCCCATTGGTTAAATCTAATACCAAGATTTTGATGTATTTTGTAATGTGACATGATTTAAAAAATATGAAATCTCGGTACACTGCCATGATGAATGATTGTATTGTATATTATTGACATTCCGTCAACTATTCAACATGATTGATATATTGTCTGTCTTGTATGTGATTTGTTTTAAAATAAAAAAACATTTTTTCCTAGACTGACACAAGATCTGAAGGAAATTGGTCGTCGAAGGAAGAACGGAGTGCGATTTGTCATGTGGCAGGAGATTATGAATAACAATGTGCAGGTACATGTGATAAAAAAATTCATCTAAATTTTGTGTCGTTGGTCTTCCTGGTAAACTTGGGAGAGCTTGTGGCATTAACCACTTTTTATTCTTCTTTATCTTTGACTTTGAATTTGTTTCACACTTTTCTTAAAATCTACCTTCTAGATTTTAATTTTAAATCTACCTACTAGATTTTAATGAAGTTTTTATGACTGTTGATGAGCATGTGTAAATATGCATGTAACTTTTTCTCCTATCCAACATCCAAGATGGCTGTCATGGCCTTAGATTGACTGACACATTTAGGAGTTTTATACAGAGTTTTATAGGTCTATAACAAGCTACAAACCTCACCTTAAGTCTATAACAAGCTACAGACCTCACCATAAGTCTATAACAAGCTACAGATCTCACCATAAGTCTATAACAAGCTACAGACCTCACCATATCTCTATAACAAGCCAGACCTCACCATATGGCTATAACTGATGATGATTTGTCTATAACAGTTGCCCAATGACACCATCATCCAGATTTGGCAGGGAGACATGGGAGATGTCCAGCGAGCCATAGACATGGGATATAACACCATATACTCCACCTGTTGGTACCTCGACCTCATCGAGTATGGCGTCAAGTGGCCCAAGTACTACAATTGTGACCCAGCTGACACAAGCATGGGTAAGTTTATATCGTTAACTGATTACTAAACTAAACAATAAGATATTCATTAAATGATTCATAATTTTGTAAAAAAACAACAACTGCAAGGACTCGTTTGAAAAATTTAGGTTTGAGAATCTCATTGGACATTGTCTTTTGCCTGGAATATGAAAATCTTCCAGAAAAACAGTATCTTAATTCATCCAGCATGTTTGGGGGAAAGGAAAGAACTTTTAGTTCACAGTGGTGCCTGTAAAAATAGTTAAATTTGCCCCCCTCCCTCCCGGCAGAATTAAGTAACATTCTTCAATGCACTGTAATTGTGGATGTTGAACATTGCATTATCTTGGCACTATCTTTTTCAGTTTCTCCCAATGGGGGTCATGACCCCCATTGGGAAATTCTGTGGGGGGTGATAACGCGAGAACGAAAATTTGTGTGGAAATTTAATAATTTCGCGGGGTCTCGGCTTTACGGCGTATTATGTTTTGTCTTCTGGCAAGATCAATGACTTTTTTTGAAAATAACAAAACATTTTATCACACCTTCATTGTTTTATTACATATTCTTAATCAATATACATGTTCTTCTTTTCCTAGGTGCATTCTGAAAGCATGAACCATGTTGATTTAGTTTTGCACATAACAAAGCACATATTGTATCATTTCTTAATTCAGATCTCCCTTCTGTCTGGATCTTCTTCAACATGGAAAATGTTCTCTCAGAGTCAGCATTACTCACTGAAAGTACCAAACATGCCTTCATTAGCCTACACAACACACCAAACCTAAGATCATTCTCAAAGGGTTCTTTAACTGCATGCCTTTTGATATCGTACGTAGCACCCTAAGCTACCGAAAAATGATTGGTACACAGTTTACAATAGGCATGATCGGGTCCAATATTACTCTTCTGAAGCCACTCATAATCTTATTCCCACGAAGCATTGTACTTACAGGCATACTTTTTCTTTTTTGACGATGAACACTAAAATAACGAACGTTTTCTCGGGTTAGAAGCCATTTGTGAAAGTGAAATGACAAGCGCTACGATCGGGATTATATGCATTGTAGTAACAGTGAACAGTACTCACCTTTTGAATTTGCCAGGCTGGTTCCGAAACAGGGACGCCATTGTGAAAACAAATCACTTAGTATACGGACTTTACCTATAACTGAAAGCTAAACTTCCGAGAGACACGAACGGAACATTTCCGGAGGTACAGAGATCCTAATAAAAGACGCGGATGCGGGTGATTGCGGGTCATATTTACGGAAAGCGGGAGATACGTATGACCTGCGCGGGTCATAAGATCGTCGCGGGTGATAGGTTCATTTTGCGGGTGTGACCCGCAGAATGCGGGTCATTTAGCAAGTATGTCTTGTGTACCTTTAAATGTTCATCAATTCTTCTGTACCTTTCAAATGTGTCATCAGTTCTTGTGTACCTTTCAAATGTGTCATCAATTCTTTATACCTTTCAAATTTGTTATTAATTCTTGTTTACGTTTCAAATATGCCATCAATTCTTACCTATCTCTCAAATGTATCAACGTTCAGTTTGTAGCCGAGGTCACTTAATCTGCCAAGTGAGTCCTCTAAGGGTTGAACCAAACAATAAATCAGGAAATCCATGGCCAGTGCTATTCATATTGAGCTGAAGGGAAGTTCCCTCTAGCCTAGTATTTAACAGATGACTAGACTTATCATGGTGACAAATTAAACCGGTCTAGTTACCATTTATGAAAATATCTTCCAATTTTTTTAGTGTGAACCTCTTTTTGAAAGAAAAATATGTTGAAATAAGGTAGCATATACTGTAGATTTCACTTTATATCACTTTTCATTTGTCGGAGAAAAACATGAGTGTATACTTAAATGTCAGTCCAACAAATAAAAAAATTAGATCCCTAAGCATTATACACCACTATGTCTAATACATTTTGTTGTGTTATGTCTTCTGGTTGGGTTGATGAATTGTCAGAATACTTGAAAAACACATTTCTTACTTAATCTGAAGGAATATTGATTTATGGGTTGACATTTTTATACACCATTATGTTTCCTTGTTGATGGATTTTATCTCATTCTTGAAGACATTTAAGTTATAAGGTCTTTAGCCTGTGCCATATGTTAACCTCAGGTGTCACACAGAAGGATAGAGATTTCCAGGTTATTTATTTGTCATAATAAGATAAGTGTAAAATAATTGTCAATAGGATTTAAGAGGAAGTCGGTGAATTCCTGATGAACTATATGTGTGTACTATAAGTATTCATAATAATGAAGTAAAACATCTTTGTTGGGTTGAAACAGGAGGTAAACTATGGTGATTTATCCATGTTTCTTTTGCACTGGTGATCTTGTGTCTGTATGTGGTATACCTCAGGGCTAAATGATAAATGATGTTAGCCATTTCTTCCTGTTAATGAGGAAATGCTACATGCTAATACATTTTACTGAAACCATGAGTGCATGTCATCAGAGTGAGACTATGACTCATCATTTACATACATACAAAATTTATAAAGCTTTTAACAAATGTCAAGAAATTTAAATCAATTTTTAAAATTAATTTAATAAAAAAATATTTATGCAAGTTCAATTTTTAGCTCACCCCGTCCGTCAACTTTTCCTTTAAAACGTTACTAGTCCTGAACGGCCCAGTAGATTTTGACTAAATTTTGTCTGGAGCATTCTTAGGCCAAGGGGACTCAATTTTGTATAAACGGTGGGTGTGGCCCGCCTGGGGGCAGAGAGGTGGGCCCAATAGGGGAAATAGAGGTAAAACCTTCAAAATCCTTCTTCTACCGTAGGGATTAAGGGATTTATCCTAATTTAGTCTTGAGCATCCTTGGGTCAAGGGGACTCAATTTTGTATAAATGGTGGGTCTGGCCTGCCTGGGGGCAGAGGGGCGGGGCCCAATACGGGAAATATAGCAAATTCTTTAAAATCCTTCTTCTTCTGTAGGAATGAATGGATTTGTTCCATATTTGGTCTAAAGCAACCTTGGGTGAAAGGGAACCAATTTTGTATAAACCGTGGGTCTGGCCCACTAGGGGCCTGAGGGGCGGGGCCCAATAGGGGGAAATATAGCAAATTCTTTAATATCCTTCTTCTTCTGTAGGAATGATAGGATTTGTTCCATATTTGGTCTAAAGCAACCTTGGGTGAAAGGGAACCAATTTTGTATAAACCGTGGGTCTGGCCCACTAGGGGCCTGAGGGGCGGGGCCCAATAGGGGGAAATATAGCAAATTCTTTAATATCCTTCTTCTTCTGTAGGAATGATAGGATTTGTTCCATATTTGGTCTAAAGCAACCTTGGGTGAAAGGGAACCAATTTTGTATAAACCGTGGGTCTGGCCCACTAGGGGCCTGAGGGGCGGGGCCCAATAGGGGGAAATATAGCAAATTCTTTAATATCCTTCTTCTTCTGTAGGAATGATAGGATTTGTTCCATATTTGGTCTAAAGCATCCTTGGGTAAAGGGGAACCAATTTTGTATAAACTGTGGGTCTGGCCCCCCAAAAGGGGCCTGAGGGGTGGGGCCCAATAGGGGAACATAGCAAATTATTCTTTAAAATCCTTCTTCTTCTGTAGGAATGATAGGATTTGTTCCATATTTGGTCTAAAGCATCCTTGGGTAAAGGGGAACCAATTTTGTATAAACTGTGGGTCTGGCCCCCCAAAAGGGGCCTGAGGGGTGGGGCCCAATAGGGGAACATAGCAAATTATTCTTTAAAATCCTTCTTCTTCTGTAGGAATGATAGGATTTGTTCCATATTTGGTCTAAAGCATCCTTGGGTAAAGGGGAACCAATTTTGTATAAACTGTGGGTCTGGCCCCCCAAAAGGGGCCTGAGGGGTGGGGCCCAATAGGGGAACATAGCAAATTATTCTTTAAAATCCTTCTTCTTCTGTAGGAATGAAAAGATTTGGTCCATATTTGGTGTGGAGCATCCTTGGTTAAAAGGGGAACTAATTTTGTATAAACAGTGGGTGTGGCCCCCTTGGGACCTGAGGGGCGGGGCCCAATAGGGGAAATAGAATTAAAACCTTTGTAATCCTTCTTCATAGGGATTAAGGGATTTTCTCCTAATTTAGTCTGGAGCATCCTTGGGCATAAGGGACTCACTTTCGTATTGACAGCAAGGTTGGCCCCCCTGGGGGCAGAAGGGAGGGGCCCAATAGGGAAAACACAGCAAACTTTTCAAATACCTTCTTCTTCTGTACGAATGACAGGATTTTGTCCAAATTTGGTATGAAGCATCCTTGGGTTAAGGGGAACCAATTTTGTATAAACAGTGTGTCTAACCCCACTGGAGGCAGAGAGGCAGGGGCCAATAGGGGAAATAGAGGTAAAACCTTTAAAATCCTTCTTCTACCATTGGGATTATGGGATTTTATCCTTATTTACCGTCTGGAGCATCCTTTGGCCAAGGGGACTCAATTTTGTATAATTGGTGGGTATGACCTCCCTAGGGGCATAAGGGTGGGCTCTGTTTGAAGATTGTTCTTGCTATATCTCAAGTACTGAATGGATCTTCCTGAAATTCATATGTACTTACAGCACCTACCATGGAGTGTTATAGGTTTACTTCATACCAGTTATTTTAAACATATTCAGGTGAGCAATACAGGCCCTTTGGGCCTCTTGTTCATGATTTCTTTTTTCAATTTCATTAAATTTAATTACACAATTCAATCTTAATTGAATTATAAAAAAGCTTATTCAATGATACTATTTAGTTTGTTGAAATGTTGGGTTAGCCATATTTTATTAGGAATTGGTGTGTGTATAATTGCAGGATACCAGATTGATGAGAAGAAAGTTCTGGGCGGTGAGGCGTGCATGTGGGCAGAATATGTGGATAACGAAAACGTGATGACAACATTGTGGTAAGTTTACACGAGTTTTGCTTGGGTTTCCTAAAATGGATTAAGGAAAATTGGAATCAAAGGACGTTTTAACAATGGTCAGAAAATGTGAAACAAATTGACATTTTACATAGGCACTGGCAAGAAAAATGTGAAACAGATGTTAATAATTTTTACATTACTCAGAAAAATATGAAGCAAAAGGACTCCATATATATGTCAGAAAAAATGTGAAACAAAAGATTTGGTGACAGTTTTTGAAACAGGTAAGATTGCATTTCAGACGAAAATGCTGTTCATCCATTGGTGAAAAATGGTCAGGTACTGAACCACTTAAAAGCTATCAATGGATCAGTAAGGACATCTCATTATGATGTCTCAATTGACTAAAACAATTTTGCTGTCTAATAATTTTCTGGTTAAGCAATATCATACTTTGACATGAGATTGATAAAAACATAAAGTTCAATTTACAATGAAGAAATTTCAAGAGTTGTTGATGTGGTGAAATGTTCATGTAGTTTGTCACAACAAGGTGAATAGTGTTAGTGATAACAATAGAACTAACGATAAACTATGTAACTAACGATAAGCTATGTAACTAACGATAAACTATGTAACTAATGATAAACTATGTAACTAATGATAACTATGTAACAAATTATAAACTAAGTAACTAACGATAATCTATTTAACTAACGATAAACTATGTAACTAACGATAAACAATGTAACAAATGATATACAATGTAACTAAAGATAAACTATGTAACTAACAATAAACAATGTAACAAATTATAAACTATGTAACTAACGATAAACTATGTAACAAATGATATACAATGTAGCTAAAGATAAACTACGTAACTAATGATAAACTATGTAACTAATGATAAACTAAGTAACTAATCATAAATTGCTAATGATAAACTATGTAACTAATGATAAACAGCTAATGATAAACTATGTAACTAATGATAAACTATGTAACTAACAATAACCTATGTAACTAATGATAAACTATGTAACTAATGATAAACTATGTAACTAATGATAACTATGTAACAAATTATAAACTAAGTAACTAACGATAATCTATGTAACTACGATAAACTATGTAACTAACGATAAACAATGTAACAAATGATATACAATGTAACTAAAGATAAACTATGTAACTAACAATAAACAATGTAACAAATTATAAACTATGTAACTAACGATAAACTATGTAACAAATGATATACAATGTAGCTAAAGATAAACTATGTAACTAATGATAAACTATGTAACTAATGATAAACTAAGTAACTTATCATAAATTGCTAATGATAAACTATGTAACTAATGATAAACAGCTAATGATAAACTATGTAACTAATGATAAACTATGTAACTAATGATAAACTAAGTAACTAATGATAAATTGCTAATGATAAACTATGTAACTAATGATAAACGGCTAATGATAAACTATGTAACAAATGATAAACTGCTAATGATAAACTATGTAACAAATTATAAACTAAGTAACTAACGATAAACTATATAACTAATGATAAACTAAAAAACTAATGATAAACTGCTAATGATAAACTATGTAACAAATTATAAACTAAGTAACTAACGATAAACTATGTAACTAATGATAAACTAAGTAACTAATGGTAAACTATGTAACTAATGATAAACTATGTAACTAATGATAAACGACTAATGAAAAACTATGTAACTAATGATAAGCGTCTAATGATAAACTATGTAACAAATTATAAACTAAGTAACTAACGATAAACTATATAACTAATGATAAACTAAGAAACTAATGATAAACTGTTAATGATAAACTATGTAACAAATTTTAAACTAAGTAACTAATGATGAACTATGTAACTAACGATAAACTATGTAACTAATGATAAACTGCTAATGATAAACTATGTAACAAATTATAAACTAAGTAACTAACGATAAACTATGTAACTAATGATAAACTAAGTAACTAATGATAAACTATGTAACTAATGATAAGCGTCTAATGATAAACTATGTAACTAATGATAAACGGCTAATGTAACTAATGATAAACGGCTAATGATAAACTATGTAACTAATGATAAACGGTAAATGATAAACTATGTAACTAATGATAAACGGCTAATGATAAACTATGTAACTAATGATAAACGGCTAATGATAAACTATGTAACTAATGATAAACGGTAAATGATAAACTATGTAACTAATGATAAACGGTAAATGATAAACTATGTAACTAATGATAAACGGCTAATGATAAACTATGTAACTAATGATAAACGGCTAATGATAAACTATGTAACTAATGATAAACGGTAAATGATAAACTATGTAACTAATGATAAACGGTAAATGATAAACTATGTAACTAATGATAAACGGCTAATGATAAACTATGTAACTAATGATAAACGGCTAATGATAAACTATGTAACTAATGATAAACGGCTAATGATAAACTATGTAACTAATGATAAACGGCTAATGATAAACTATGTAACTAATGATAAACGGCTAATGATAAACTATGTAACTAATGATAAACGGCTAATGATAAACTATGTAACTAATGATAAACGGTAAATGATAAACTATGTAACTAATGATAAACGGCTAATGATAAACTATGTAACTAATGATAAACGGCTAATGATAAACTATGTTACTAAGTACAAGGGGAAATGAGATCCAACGTCCGCTAGTGGATGTTCAGTGAAGTTCTGCGTTCCCCAGTTGATTGATTCCTAAATGGAATACACCAGTCCAGCAATAAGGGTAATAGAAATTCACTAGTCCAGCAATAAGCTTGGGTAATAGAAATTCACCTGTCCAGCAATAAGGGTAATAGAAATTCACCAATCCAGCAATAAGGGTAATAGAAATTCACCAGTCCAGCAATAAGGGTAATAGAAGTTCAAAGAAGAGACGACCAGACAACATCAAGTGGGGAGTCTCTGCACATTTTTGTCCAGTTTACATGTTTCAGTCCACATCATGTAAACTGGATTAAATTTCCCGAGATTCCCCATTTGATGTTGTCTGGTCATCTCTTCTTTGAATATGTAACTAAAACTATGAACTTATGATAAACAATGTAACTAAATATAAACTATGTAATTAATGATACTGTAATTAATGACAAACAATGTAACTAATGATAATCAAGGTAGCTAATGATAAAAGAAAAAATCTAAGTTTACTGATGTCAAAACTTTTGTATGCGTCAAGATTACATTTAGGATTCTACCAATGTTAAGAAATTGTGAAATATAATCTCACTAAATTTGTCCTGTCTGCTTTAAGTGTATAATAGATGGTGACCTATCTTGTGTTACAGGCCTCGGGCATCTGCTGTGGCCGAGAGACTGTGGAGTAGTAAAGACGTGAAGGATGTGGATGCTGCAGGTAAACGGCTGTCAGAACATCGCTGCCGTATGCTCAGGTATGACATCGTATACACTACAGTATACAGTTGTTGACTTGGAATGAGGGATACAGGTGCTTTGTTCGACCCTCAGTCAACCTGGTGCCATTGAAGTTAACAAAACATCCGTTCCTCAGAGATTTGTACTTGACAAAAATATTACAAATCTCTTATGCTCAGTGTCATAGAGAATTTAGATTTACTGGAATAGATTGTGGGAAATCAAGGTAAATGTAGGCTTATAGAAAGGTCACTCCCAAGTTCAGTAATCAGGCGGGATCAAGTATAACAAACCTTGTTGACCTCCTGTCATTTTGAGTGTTGTCATTTATTAAGAGAAATGTTAAGGAGGCACAGTTGTCTAGTGTTAGGACGCCGGGCTCGTGACCCAAGGGTTGCAGATTCAAGTCATGTTATAGCACTGTGTTGTATATTTGAACAAGATACTTAACTACGCTTGTTCCAGTCTACTCAGCTGTAAATGAGGTTGTGGTTTGGCAGTGCTGGAATTGTTGAATGTTAGCTGTGAGCACCGAAATGGTAGCACCGGCTGTATGCTCCCCAGGGAGTTGAGAAAGATGGTTGCAAAGGCCCAATAACCACAGATAATAGTTTGTGAACCGCTTTGAGACTACCTAAGACCTAGGTTATGATAAAGCAGTATATGAAAACCTCAAATGATTATTATTATTATTACCCCATTTTGCATGTGGTGCAACCTTTGCTGATTGTTTTTACTTGTGTCCGTCTAGTCGAGGCCTACCAGTGGGGATGATCAGTGGTCCAGACTACTGTCTCCGACGAGGACATCGCCGAGACAGAGACAACTCCTCCAACTGCTCCGTCGGTCACTGCTTCCAGAGCAAGGACACCGTCCAGATAGAAAAGATCAATGTCCGAGTCCAACAGAGGAGTCACAACCTGCCAGTTCCCGACTGTAACCAGGTAAGGCCAGCAACAAAAGACAAAAAGAAAGGAAATTAAATTCAAATTTCAATTTCAGATATAATTCAGGTACTTTTGTTCCTATTATAGCTGTTACAGATTCCTAATTATAATATAAACTTTATTTATTTTACAACAATTATAAAACAAGTAATTTCATCTTATATTAATCACTTCTTGTTGGCCCGGATGGTAGCATGCGGGGGTCTTATTGTGGGAGGAAACTGGAATACCCGGAGAAAACCTACTTCGTAGGGCAGTTGACCCATACCTTTTTATGTCCAATCGGGTAATCAAACTCCAACCGCCTTGGTGAAAAGGAATTGCACCACCCGACCACCCTGATTACTGAAATATTAATTGTCACTTAGATCTCATTTGATATAAATATGATTATAGTTTTAAGTCTTCGTATATATGACATCATTATATTTTCCCATTTCAGATAATTTCCCAAGGAGGAAACATGATTACCATAGCAGTAGTGATAGCTTTGTTCATTGTTGTCATTGTCAGCATCAAAGCCACAGGAAACAGAATGATGCAGGGACGGTTTTGTCGAAATAAGAACATCTTCATCGCATTCATTGTTGTCATTCTCATATATTTTATGTGTTCAACATCACTTTGGATGCAGGTCCTGGAATTCAAGGGTTCTTTTGAAAAACGTGTGAAATCGTCCTACTCCGACAAGGGTTCAATATAGTGCTGTGTTATTGTTTTCATTTTTGATGGCTGACTAAAATAGACCGCAAAAATAATTAAAGGACGATATTTGTGCAGACATTGTTCAATGTTATCTCCGAGTTAATGAACTGCGTATTTTCACTTCTGAAATGGCCTAGTCATATTTAATTTTATCAGGACTTTATTTGTGATTCAGAAGTAAAGCTTGTTCTAGAAAAGTCATTGGAAAAAGACTTGTTTTCAGAAAATGGGCAAATAAAGAGTTTTTTCTGCATGATGTATCATATAATTTTTAATTTAAAAATTGTATAGTGAAGGTCACACATGTATCATGATCTATATATCCCTAGAGCTATTTTCCAATAGAAACTGAAAATGGTTGATTCATTAATAAACACCAGCACCCTGTTGGTGAAGTTTAAACTACTGTTTTAAGAATATCCTCAGTCAAAATTGATTGACCCAGTAAGCATTTTAAGGTCACAAATCAATGTCGTGATCAGCTGGCATGGAATCATGTTGGTAATATTTCCATAATAGTCAAGGTCAAACGTCACTTACCTATATACTTAAGAAAAGTTGTATGTACATATGTGTATTCCATAGATAGGTACTGACCCAGAGTCTATAATTAGGCCTGAGAATACAGCTTAATCTTTATGACAAGACAATACATGTGCAAACCTGTATTAAGAGACCATTTAACCCTTTCACCCCTTTGTAACTTTAGTTAACTCTTCCATGCATTGATCTGGATAAGTCCATTTTGGTCTCCAGTGGTGAAAGGGTTAAAACTACATGTTGCAGTTATTTTCATGTTCATAATCCAATCTGTTTTTAGAGACCACCTTGTATCAGTCTGTTTTATGGACCTTTTGAATGAATGTGGTCTCTTAGTACAAGTTTGACGGTACATGTACGTTCAGTTATTAACTTTTTCTGGTTTGTTTTTTTGTCAGAGGTTATTTTTACACGGTATTGTTTCACTACATTCTCAAATTAAAAACCTGTAAAAAATGCTACTGCTGCAGTTTGATTACCTGTGTATGCTGTGAGGATGTGAACGATGGTTGTAGCAATGCATTTCTAAAACACAATCCAACAATTTGATGGCAATCAGTTTGTTTTGTAAAGTTTTAACTTATTTTTGTCAACACCCCATTGCAGGATTATTTATTCATGTCATGTCATTTGCATTTTACTGATAATATTATGATTCATATTACTCTGCCACAAATTAAAAACATTGTAAATAGGCATGAATGTATTTTGATTTTAAATGTCTTTGGGAAAAAACTATGGTCCATTTTGTGAAACACCAAAACATACTGTTGAATCTCTTTATCAAAGACTTTGGAAAACTTGAAATACATTTTTTGTATTCCCTGTTTTACAGGTAACTTTGTATGTTGCATTTGGTCAGAATTTCTTTTTTTAATATAAAGAAAAATGGTACGTTAAAATAAAAAAATAAACTGATTTCTTAAAAATCATCCTTGAGAAGTTAAATGCTCAATTACCTTAGCTATCCTGAATGTTAATAGTTTTACCCCCTTACTATGGACGACAAATTTTACAGTAATTGACATCAGATATAAAAGAAGTAAGTTGTTGAGGAAAATAAAAGTTTAATATGAATCCTTATTGGACATGTATAGTTTGTAGATAATTTTACATTTTTATTTGAATTTTACCTCAGTACCAATGTAACTAAGGTACTTAGCTTTAATAGGGACTGTAGTTGTGAGAATGCTATTATAGAAGTGGAAAGCTGGGATAACCTGACTTTCCCGATACTTGTACATAGCACCAAAGTTCCTCTGTTTTGAGGGCAGATGAGAATTCATGTGTGCAATTATTTCTATGTGGTGTATGGAGATGATTTCAGCTCATCTCACATTTCTCACCTTTTTGTTAATTTTACCTGATTTCTAAAATTACCTTAGTATTTATCATACTAGAATGTTTTGTTTATTTGTGTTTAGGAAAATGCATGCAACTCAAGATAAATCATTGTCCACCTATTTGCCAAATGTTGATTTGAATTGATTGATTTTGATCCTTTATTACTTTCATTTATAACCACTCCACAGGAAAAGGAAATCAATTTGTTGTGACTTGTTACAGTTTCATCAAGTGCATCATTTCACAACTGGATCTACAACAGGGATAGTGAAACATGTAAAAACAGTATTTGATATCGTATATAAACCCATATCTTGTGTAAGGTCTATCTACCTAGAGCTTAATAGAATCCTTTTCTTAGAAGTTTAGAGTTGGATACCTGTGACCTTCCATATTCTCATTGTTTTTGTACATATCTCGCATCAAATGCATATTGTTCAAATGAGTTTCCGAGGGAGAAAGCGTGAGAATGTGTAAGCAAAAACAAATGAGTTGAAAATTTATTTATCGTTGATTTATTTACTCTAATCTGTTGACATTATGATTATAGGATATGTCAGTTCAAGAATTGATGACATTTTAAGTTGTGCCTGTAGAAAACACTGATTACATCATAAAATATGTCTATTCAGCAACTGAGGACATTTAAGTTCTGTATACACAAAAACTGATGACATCATAGAATATGTCGGTTCAAGAATTGATGACATTTTAAGTTGTGCCTGTACAAAAACTGATGACATCATAGAATTTATCTATTTAACAATTGATGACAATTTATGTTTGATCTATACAAAAACTGATTACGTAATAAGTTTTGTCTATTTAACAACTGGCATTATTAAGGTAATCTCTACACAAAAATTAATGGCATCTTTTTTGAAAAGTTCATGACATCATATAAGCTTAATCAATACAGAAACTGATGACAGCACATGAAAATGTTAGGAGAGAAATCCTTTATTAAGTCTTTTCCTCGGTAAAATTGCTTTGTGACACTTTTTGATTTTAATGCAAAAATTATGACATGGTGAGTGAATCAGATCAGTTTTAAATTGTGTTTGAATGACCTTTACAATATCCAATCAACGTATACGACATTGTTATCAATCCTGTTTTAATTGGCTGTTGTGGCATTTATACGTTATAATGATGAAAGATAATTTTTTGTGTTTGTTTTGAAGGGCAATAATTGTTTTCAAGTTCTTCCGACACGTTAAAATAAACTTCAAATTTTATAGTTTTCTTTGCACATTTTGTTAAATTTAATGCTGCATATTCCACCAAAGTCTACCAATGATGAAATTCTTTGGTTGATTTGAGCGTTCCTTTATGCTGAAGCTGAAGTTAATTGTTTTCTTTTAACTTAAAATAGTCAACTTATTAGCAAAAGAAAAAATCTGGTTGACACATAATTATCCATTTTATGAAAGTTAACCTGTACACAGAGCTCAAACAACAAAGAAATATGTATACCCCAAATGAACCTGTATGTTGAGCTTGTCATTAAATCTTGTTTGGTTTTGCACTGGCTTCCATACATATTTAGCAGGAAAAAGATTCTTCAGTATATTCCATTGAGACATGCTCAGTGTAATAGATCCAACAGCAAGGATTTGGTTTTACTATTGGTTTGTTCTACTGTGTTCTAATATGCTGAAATAAAATGCATATGTTTGTATATATATAAACAGCGGGGGCTGTTTATTTCCACTGTGTGGAACATATTCTAGCTTTTATAATCGTGTATGAATATACAATATAGTACATAAACAACATATCATTTTTTGATGTTACTTGTTTTTTCCGTGTGAGCTTTTTGACAGTCCTTCAGTTTATGTTTGGATACCATCAAGTGAAAAAGCATTGTGATTATCGTCACCAAAAATATGCATAATTGTTTCAATGTTTGAGTTAATTGACTTTTTACCTGTGAAAAATGCAAGAGGGACGTACTATCTCATACGACAGTCCTCTCATGTATAACACTCTTGTAGATTTATAATGTAATATCAAATTTTCATTCAGAGATAAAACTTTTAAAATAGAGTATTTAGTCATCTGCCAATAAGAAGGTTGTAGATTGAAAATTTGTTTTCTTTCGAAAATGCCATAAAGGATATAGATCATATAGATACAGTCCTGTTCTAGACAATGATCTAGTAAAACTGTTGTTTCTTCAATATTTTAATCCAAAAGTCTACACCAACCGACTGTCTGTCAGGATATTTGTTGATAAATATCTTCACTGATCAAGACATATATATATTCCATTGTGAAATAAGATCTCTCTTGATGGCAAGCTATTTTGATCTGTATCAGTAGAGAGCTTTGTTATAGAAATCTGAATCTGTAGAGAGCTTTTTATGTTAAATAGAGATCTGGGCTGATTTCGTTTATCCCGAGCCAAAGGAATGAACCGGTTGAATCAGAGTTTTTTATTTATGAAATCAAGTCGAACATATTAATCTGATGCTGCTTTCAATTGAGCCTTGACAAAGCCTTGCAAGGCCTGCATAACCATTTGCAGGTCCGCCAGGATTCATACCCGAAAATGTTATACATATAACCAGGTTCTTCAGCATAAACAAACAGACCCCTGTATCAATAGATCTAGAGAGCTTCATTAATACAGATCTCTATCAATAGGGAGCTTTCTTAACTCATCAACCCCTGAAGACACATTTGAACTCTTCCAGTTGAAAGGTTGGAATAGTTCATTATGAAATTTCGGGGGTGAATGAGTTACTTGAAATCTGTGTTGATAAAGAGCTTTGCCAAGTCAAATGTAAAGACATGTAAACACAGTAGTTACCAGTAATTAGTAGAAGTGTCTTATGTTGACAAATCATGTTCGTTATAATATTACCCGTAGATGATTCTTATACTGTAGTATGTTGATATGGTTTACTCACATTGTCACTCTTAATAATCTAAAACCACCCAAAAGGACCACTTCAAAACCTTATTGTCCTCCAAATGTTTGTATTGTGTGGTCATGTATTACTTGACACTTTTCCTGCTGACCTAGGGGGAGAATTTCTATATCCAACATGTAGACATAATGTCAACTCTTTTTCTCCCAAATCTTACTCGAAATTTTAATGGAACATGACATTAAAACATGGAAATGCATTACTTTATATGGCAAACTTTCTAGATAATTTCTAGGTAACATACACTTATAGAGAAAAGTATGGTAAACCAATGGTAATTAAACTCAAATAAAAAAAAAAAACATGCCAGATCTTCATGACAAGCTTGTGCAGTAATTCCTGTAATCTTGAGGTGGTGTCAATTACCGATGGCAAGAACGACACAGTCAGTCAAACAGCTTTTGACTGACTGTAAAGTCGTCATCTGAATTTGGGTGTCTTCATTGTGAAGGTCATGTCGTAATTTTAATGTCGGATACCACTGACAAAAATGCATGAGACGTATACTTTTTTTAATTAAATGCTGAATTTCGATTGATTCATTTAATTTCCTATGAGATCATGATATTTTGAAATTGTAATTTAAGGACAGAACTGCTAGCATGATTTATGGAATTTGTCATTTCCAGTTTGCATTCATATTAACTATGAATGTCAACTGATAGCACTTAAATGGCTAAATGTATGAGTTGCATACAAAATGAGTTTTGTATGTAATGTCAAATCCCCTATACATTTGATTATGTCTCTTAAACATGTAGAACATGTAGCAGGCATAAAAGATAAAAACAGCCTGGGAATTTTCGTAGAATTAGCAAAACCAATACATTAAAACATGGAAATGCATTACTTAATATGGCAAACTTTCTAGATAATTTCTAGGTAACATACACTTATAGAGAAAAGTATGGTAAACCAATGGTAATTAAAAGTAAAACCAATTCTGCCAACATCGAAAATTTACACAAGTCCTCCACATACAGGTATTACAATATATTGACAATGTTGTGAAAATTTAGCCAACATCGCAGATTTCTATAAATTCTTCAATATGTAATGTCGACTATTCCTTAATTTTTTTTATGGCTTTACTGCAGTGAAACAAGGCAGATTGAAATTAAGATGAAATCCCATTATATGAAGGAGACTAGAATTCTTCCTCTCAGAACAATTTCGTTTTTGTATTTACTCCCCTGCCTTCTTTTTTCTGTCTACACCCCTGTCCCCACCCCCAACTCTCAACCCCCAAA